TAGAATATTTTTTTATTATTATTATTCGATTGATATATTGCCCTCCCTAAATATTATATTTACAGAATCCCACCTGGCTGGTAACAGGAAAGCATTCTTTCTACAACAAATTAAATTGACTTTCCACAATTCTCCACCAGCTTTTTGGGGCAGCAAGGTAGGATGGACAATTTTTCATAATGTCCCAGGAAAAAGCAAGATTTTCCAGCCATTTCTTAAAGGTATGTTTCCATTTTATTTTGTTTTATTTTATTTTACCTTGTTTTATTTTTCAGTCCTGCTGAAAGGACTGTGTTGTAGACTGGAGATAGATGATGTTGTATCCCTCCCCCTTGGTTGAGAGAAGGCTGTTTTGGCATAGGTTGTCATGCCCCTGGTGGAAACTGACTCTGAGGGAGAGGAGGAACAGCCAACCAGGAGTGGAAGTATGGAGGCTGAACAGACAGAGGAGGACCCAGGCCCATCCCCTATCCATCCTAGGGCACGCAGGGAGGAGAGGATAAGGGAGAGATGTGGTCTACTTGGGAGGAGAGGGCCTTGATCCACTTCATGGGCTGCAGCTGTGACAACTGGATAAGAGGACGGACATGCGTACGGGCAAGTGCTGGAAACGAAGTGTGGAAATATCTCTAGTTTATTGTTCCTCTTTGAGTTTGGCGTCCTTCCCAGTGTGTGTGTGTTCTGTTCTCTTCCCAGCTGTGGCTAATGAAGGGAATCAAGGCCCTTTCCTTCCCCATAAGCCACACAACCCACATTGCTCTCTTTTCAATTCCTCCCTGCGTGCCCGAGAATGAAGAGGGGATGGGCCTGGGTCTTCCTCTAAACTCCCTCTCCCTTGTTCTATCTCTCCCCTGCTCTGCCCAGCTGGACTTTCCCCTTCCCCAGTTTCCTCCACAGCCAACAGAGCCACACTCCCACTCCCTGTCAGCTGTTCTTCTTCTTCCTCTGATTCAGACTCTGACAGGGGCATGACACTACCATCGTAAATATATGCTGGGAGCTCAGATTTTGACCACAGAACCCTGGGGATGCTGCAGTGACCAAGGACAGGTTTTTAATCACTTTTTCAGTGCTGTTATAACTTCAAACAGACATTAAACAAATGGTGGTAAGTCGAGGACTACCCATACACGACTCTCTTTACCTTTGTCCTCTTTACTGCAAGGCTGGCAGAAAAGGATGGGCCCAAGGTCACAACTGCTCTTGATTGTTTGGGTTTGACGGTGACAAAGACAGAGTGTTCTCTATTTGTTGACATGCTTTCTTTTTTTTAATGCTAGTGACTATTCTGGGCTTATTTACAAGGTTGTGTTAAGGTGACCCCAGACTCTTGGCTATTTTTGCTGCAACATATTAAAAAGGCAACATCTTGACAACATTAGCAATTCGGTACCCTTAGGTACCTCTTGATTGCTGCTCAGCAACCTGCTGTCTTTAAAAATGGAAAGCTGGCAAGAGGCCCACTTCTAGCCTACTCCCGCTTGACGAAAGTGCTTCTCGTCCCTAAATCAGAGGGACTCCTGTAGCATCTTTTCAGACCAGTAGATTTTATTATAAAGGCCAAGCGTTTGCAAGCTGTCGCTGAGCCCTCAAAAGCAGATGGATGCCTTGGATGAGTTGTGTTAGTCTGAAAAAACACTACCAGGTTCCTGATTTCTGGCTACTATGAAGCTCCTCCTGTGGCCTCTAATGCCCAGGCATTCTTAGAAAATAGAATGGGTAGCGCAGCCTAGTGTCTAGGATGAGGCCAGGCTGAAGACATGGGCACCATCTTGGTCTATTACAGAGGACAGGTAGCTCATCAGCTTTTAATAACCAAGTTCCCAGGGCAGATTATGAGTGTGTGTGTGTGTGGTATTTAGCTTTGTTCTGGTATTTTCCCACGTCATTTTGCTTTTAAAGTTGTAGCAACGTTTTGGCACAATCTCATCTGCCATCATCAGGCTTGTGTATTGGGTTCATCTGTGTGTCATTATACAGTATATACTGTGTATATATATATATGTGTGTGTGTGTGTGTGTGTGTGTGTATCTTTGGTTATTCGGGTTTTCTCCCGCGTAAGATTGGCAGTATCTAGGCAACGTTTCGATGAAGTCTCATTCATCATCTTCAGGCTTGTGTCTTCGGCTCTGTGCTTCTCAGAGTGATCAGCCAAGCCCCCACCCAATCAAGTCACACCCCCACTAGCAGTTAAAAGGAAGAAGCAGCTGCAAGCTCACATCACTCTGAGAAGCACAGAGCCGAAGACACAAGCCTAAAGATGATGAATGAGACTTCATCGAAACGTTGCCTAGATACTGCCAATCTTACGTGGGAGAAAACCCGAATAACCAAAGATCCACATACAAATACCCGCGAGAACCTCAGAAAATATATATATATATATATATATTATATTATATATATATAATATAATATAATATAATATAATATAATATAATATAATAGGCATGGACTTTCTGATTTTTCTTTGAAGATGATTCTAAGAAGCTTCTTGGATGAGAAGCAAAACATCTTCAAAGAAAATCCAGAAAGTCCACTTGCCTCTTGAAAAAGCTCCTTTGAGTTACCAAAGAATTGTGTTTATGGAGGTTCTCAGTCATCTAGGTTCTGGTTGCCCCAAAGGGTCCTGTTTGTGCCAGAACTGAAGAAGCGTCTCGAATGAGAAGCGAAACATCTTCCAAGAAAAACAAAGTCCAGTTGCCTTTCGAAAAAGCATCTTTGGGATACCCAAGAATAAGAGGAGAGAGAGGAAAGCATGTAACCTCGTGGAAATGTACTTGATTCGAAGGAACTTCAAAAGCAGCCAAAGATTTAAGATTCCTTTCAGTACCTCTTATTTGTCTGATGGCAGCTCTGCTGCTGTCTCCGAACATGACGGGCGAGTCGGACTACAGCTCATTTCATCCCCAGCCAACATGCGTGCCGGCTAGTGATTATAGTATAGACTAACTTGCCCCATCAAGGGAACAGTGACTCTCATGCAATGGACAGAAAACTGACACAGCTTCAAGTATCACAAAATTATCTTTATTTCTTCCCCCCACACCTTATGATTGTAAACAAAAGAATACAGTGCTCTCACAGAACATCTTTTGAGTTTCCCTGCAAGACAGCAATCCCCCACCCCCGCCTGTTCAGTCATGTCTGATTCTCAGAGACAAATCCCTGCAGTTTTCTTGGCAAGTTTTTATTTTTCCAGAAGTGGATTGCCATTGCCTCCTTCCTAGAGCTGAGAGAAAGTGACTGGCCCCAGGTCATCCAGCTGGCTTTGTGCCTAAGGCAGGACTAGAACTCGTGGTCTCCAGTTTCTAGCTTGGTGCCTTCACCGTTGCACCAAACTGGCTCAAAGCAATAAAATAAATCCTATTTCCAAAGTGCCTGTTACATTCATTTCCTTTCAATGAGCTGTGCAAAATGTAAAAGGAGAGAGAGAAAAGAATGCCCTCGGCATGTTTAGGGCTAAAACTTCCCCTACAATCCTTTGGTCAAGCCAGCTGGATTGATGGGTGCTGAAGTCAAAAAAACATGCCGAGGGCACCAGGAACTAGATAGGTTAGAGGAGACCCTGACTTTTCAGTGTCAATAACCATGGCCTGGCTTTCCAAGTGCTATCTCCCACCCCACCCTAGTGCAATTGTTTCGGCCCTGTTAGCCTTGGTCCCAACAATATCGGGCAAGAACTACGAACACCCATTTTTGTCCTGAGCAGCTAGGAGAATGAAAACCCTACTCCAAAAGGGTCTAAAAATTGGGACAAGGTACATTTGGGCAATATCCTGACACGGGTTATTCAGAAATAGTGCTTTTAAAAGCCTTTAGTATTGTGTTATGGGTAATCCTTGACTTACAACCACAATTGGGCCCAAATTTCCTGTTGCTAAGCAAGACAGTTAAGTAAGTTTTGCTCTTCTTTTATGGCCTTTTTTTTTTTTTTTTGCCAGAGTTACTAAGTGGGAATCGCCGCATTTCAGTTAGAAACATGATGATTTCATGACTGTGGCTTCCCCAATAACAAAAGTTGGAAGGGACCTCAGAGGACATCTAGTCCGACCCCCTGCTCAAGCCGGAAAGCAGGATCTTTGCTTGTCAGAAAGTCACAAAAGGTTGATGACCTGACCCCGGAGATGATTGTAAAGTGGTCACACGTCACTTTGTTCAACGCCATTGTAGCTTCAAACGGTCACTGAATGAATGGTTGTAAGTCGAGGGTTACTCTGGACATTCACATTGCTTCAGATCTCATATTATACATTCTTTTTTAATTAATACTGCCCCGGTTCTCCCCTTGCCCTCCACCCCACTTCCCTCCCCAATGGCACCCTATTCTTCTTACGGTTGCAGGTATTAGAATAAACACCAGGGGGCAGCCAACTACAGATGGGGGAACCTATTTTGTTTTTGAAACCTTGGCATAGCTCTGGACTTTCTTTTTTTTTCTCTTTTTTTTAAATCCCCCTTGATCGAGGGAGAGATAGAAGGGGGTACAATGGTATTGGTTTAAAATGTAGAAAAATAGTTTTCTAGAGATCTGAGGTAATCAAGGCTATAAACACTCGAAAGAAAGGTGGAAGGTTCTGAGGCTGCTTCTTGCCGGTTTTTTCCTTTTTTAAGAAAATAATGCACTCTCAATATTTCAGACAAAATATTTGCATCAGACCTGACATGTAACCAATACACCCACGCATCATGCACGTACACACAAAAGCAGAAACACGGGGGGGGGGGGGTTTCTTTCCCCCTCCCCCCCTTTAAAAAAAAAAAGGCATGATTAAAAAAATAAATGAGATTTGTCTTTTTTTTTTTCTCCCCCTTTCTTGAAGTTCAAAATAAATAAATAAGCTAGGACAGCCTGGTCACTTACATTGACAAAGGGGAAGGGAAGGATGTTAGAAAGAGGCTTTGCACATTTGAGCGGCCAGAGGTTGGGGAGAAGGCGGCTCCTGGAGCAGAGAGAGAGAGAGAGAGAGAGAGAGAGAGACGGGGGGAGCGAGAGGAATCAGACGTCACTGGGCGATCTGGACTGGAAAGGCATGGAGGAGGAGATACAGCTGCAGCATATTGCCCATAAGACCTTCTGGATTTCCTGGTTCCGGAAGGCATAGATCACCGGATTGATCATGGAATTGTAGGTGGCCGGGAGCACAGTCATATAGGTGTAGAGGGCAGGGTAGGTGTAATCTCCCAGGAGGCAGTAAACGGCCAAGGGCAGCCAGCATGAGGCAAAAGTCCCCAGGATGAGAGTCAATGTGGAGATGCCTTTCCGGGTCGTGACGTAGTGCGAAGTAGCCAGGAAGTGTCTCTGGAGGGCGATCTGCTGCGCATGCCGACACACGATCTTGCAGATTTGCACGTACAGCTGCAACATGACGGCAAAGACCATGAAGAAGGAAATGGACAGGATGATGAGGTGGTCCTTGTTCAATGGCTTAATGATGCTGCAGGCAGAGTTGTCCTTCAAGCAGTTCCAGCCCATGACGGGCAACAGTCCGAAGCCAATGGAGATCCCCCACGTGAGGATGAGGATGACGTAGGTCCGGGTGACTGTCCTCTCTGAGTAGTAAGTCAACGCGTTGTAGAGAGACAAGTAGCGATCTATGGTGATAGCCAGGAGGCTGCCCACGCTGGCAGTGAATGAGGTCACCAGGAGGCCCATGGTGAGGAGGTTCACCATCTGGGACTGGACACAATAAACGAAGACAAAGTGAAAGATGAGGCCCAAGCCAGCCAATAGATCAGCCGTGGCTAAGCTCCCAATCAGCAGGAACATCGGAGTCCGGAAAGCTGGAGTGTAAAAGATGATGGCTACCACGATGGCGTTCTCACAGGAGATGATAGTCCCAGAAATGCACAGGACGACATCCCAAGGATTTAAGGGAAGAGCAGGAGGCGTCTCTGAGAAATAGAAGGACTTGCTGGTGCTACCATTCGTTGGCACAAACCAGCCTGGCTGGATCTTGGTAGTGTTGGTGGGCACTTCCTCTTTCATGCTCTCTACCTGCGATCTGAAACAAGCGGATGAAAAAGCCAACTCAGTTTCAACTCAGGTTTGAAGGGAAGCAGCAAGTGTCTGCAAGTATTGTACGTGTATGTTTGTGTGTATTTGGAAGGGACAGATGAATTGGTACCTGTTTTCTAAGGTTGGGAGGCAAGATGGAGGCCAACCAGCTACCTTTAGCTGCCTAAAAGCCCCACCAAAGGTGACTAATTTTATAGGTATATCTTGCCTGTGATTATTGGGTCCTTGTGGTCAATGCCTTCTAAATGGGATATTTCTGGCTTGGGCCTGCCATTGTTTGCCACCTTCCCCGTCTCCTTTTCTCCTGTTCTTCAAACAAGCCCATCAAGTTAAAAGAGGACAAGTCAATGCTGGTCTCTTGTCAACGTAGGTTGCTCCGGATGACATCATATATTTTCCCCTGTTCCTGGACAGGCCTCCCTATCTGTTTCCCTTTCTCTTTTGCTTGCTCTGATACATAACCTAATTCAGCTCTTTTTTTTTTTAATCCTGGCATTCAAAAAATGTTTATAAAGGAAGAGTTGGCTCTGTACAACTATGCAACACAATTGATCGTGCAGCAAGCACCCAGCTTATCTCTGCCTTTGTGCTAACAAGCTGGTAAACATGAAAAGTCAAGGGAACAAGCTGGGCCATGTTTATGTTCTCCTTTGTAAAAACAAAACAAAACCAATCATTTTTATTCTGCCTATGTCTGTTAAATCACCATGCTAATGAATGCAATAACATTATAGGACTTGATCTGTAATAAACGGGCATCTTTAGGAAACTTTCAACAGCTTGCTGCCCTCTACATGTATGGACACTATTTCACAGCCAGAGTGGAGAACCACCGTCCTGGCTGGGAATTAGGGATTAGTCTGTAGTCTAGGCACATCTGGAAGGCATCAAATTAAGGAAGCCCATCCATCCTTCAAGAGTTCAATTCCAGCTAGTTTCCTGAGGAAAATATCTGGTGATCTTAGGTAGCGTTTATAGAGATGTTGATCCTTGTCAGGCACAGAAATCTGAACGCCGCTGCTGCAACCATCTGGATCTCTTTTCAATTCTGATGTGTAAACGGTGCGACTTTTACGGACAGCCTATTGACTCGCAGCCCACTTAACAAGTTTAGAATGGCACTGCGGAAAATGCCCCTTAAAAACAAGTGTCTAGCCTAGCGTCGGATGGCCTTGAAGTGGCACGCGATGGGCTCGCTTAAGATCTGGACTTCTTTGCAGGGAAGGTTCTCTTGGGCTGCCAGAGAAGGAAGGAAGCAAACTCACCTTGGAAGAGGGTCCAACAACTGCACATCCAGCGAGGAAGAAGCCTCGCTTGGGGAGGGGGAGGCGGATAGCAGCGGGGTCGATCCGGGCGTCCGATTGGATGGCTTGCAGGGCGAAGGAATCCGCCTCTCCCCAATGCATATGAGGTGGTGGCCGGAGCTAGCAGTGTGGGTTGCGAGGATGCAGGAGCCCCGGGTCCAGCTGCTGCGACGGATTTCAGACTGGCCGGGAATTGGTGGGGGGGACGCCCGGTGTTATAGTGAGCAAGCCCCCTTTTTGAGGGTGACTCATACTTAAGGGCTCTGGCCGGGCAGCTCCACCCTCCGCTCGGGTGACGTCAATGGCGGCGGGAGCCAATCCGGTGTCGAAGGAGGACAAGCGCGCGCTCGAGCGCCGGGCGGCATAGTAATCCGGCTCGGGCTGGAGAATTCCATTCATAAAAGTGAAGAGGGTGGGGGAACGCCGCCGCCGCCGCCGCCGCCGCTGCTGAGGCGTTTGTTGTGTGGGCGCTTTGAGGGCTTTTTCCTCGCTCCTTTGGCGTCTTGCTCACGCGGCGGCTTTTGCGGGGCGTAGGGAAGCTGACGGGAAATGCGGGGGACCAAGAATCCCCCGTGAGTCCCTTAAGGCAGAGGCAGAGGCTGCCCCATTGACTGGTTTCCTCATCATAGTACCCCATACTGCGGCTCCTGGGTTAGGGGCTCAGCACGATGGAGGTTTATAAACCATGGCTTGTCACGATGTGTCATCCCAGCCAGTTGTGACTTATTCCATGACGCAGAGTTTAAAACTCTCGGTTTAACCTTCTCCATTAACCACCTTAATGTTCGGGAAAAGTTCTACCGGAGACGGGGATCTGATTTTTGTCATTATGACCTGGTTGCTTCTGCTACAAGACAATCCACCATAATAAGCTAAGGTGTGTGTGTGTCTGTATGTGTGGGATACACTGTAGCTCATCTTTCTCTGCAGCAAGCCCCCACAAATTCAAATTTTATTATTAAAACTGCTAGAGGGACAACTGAGTAGAGGAAGAAATCGCTCTACCCGATAATCTACACTGTACAGCATCAAATAGACCATACATTGTAGGATGAAAAATAACATCCTGGCTTAAAACAGGTCCCCATGTTCTGATTATTTGTTCAGATAATATTTATATTTGATTTATACAGCTGCCCATCTCACATGTATAACTCAGAGCAGCTTATAAAGTTAAAGAGATTAATGCTGGACCCTTTGAGAGCTGCATGCAACATAATTTCACTTTAATGTATCCCAATTAGTGTACATTCAAAATGACAGTAAACTTATTCTAAGGCTAAGACCTAAACAATACTCCCAGACCCCAAAGATACAGTACAAACATTAAAAACACTTGAGTCCAAATGCAATTGTTTATTTAAAATAATTTGCTTGGTGATTGTAGGTGGCCAGGAATTGCATTTGAGGGAATGCCAGATTTGGAACAGAAGGGCAGTGAAATAGGGGAGGAAGAGGAGCAGAAGTAGCCATGTGTCCTATATCACCCACCCCTAAAAGCAGATTAAAGGTAGTCCTCGATTTATGACCACATTCAAGCCTAAAATTTCTGTTGCTTAGCGAGACTCTCGTTAAGTGGATTTTGCTCCCATTTCATGACCTTTCTTGCCATCCTTGTTCAGTGAATCACTGCTGTTGTTAAGTTGGTAACATGGTTATTAAGTGAACCTGGCATCCTCCATTTTCTTTGCTTGTCCCAGGGTCGCAAAGTGGGATCACCGTGACCTTGGAACACTGCAACCATCGTATCTGTGTCAGTTGCCAAGCATCTGAATTTTGATCATGTGACCGTGGGAATGATCCAATGGTCGTAAGTGTGAAAAATGGTATACATCACTTTGTAATTTTGAATGGTCACTAGATGAACTGTTGTAAGTCAAGGACTACCTGTGGTATTCTTTTTCTGCAGACAAATTTGTATGTTGTATATCAACATGTGGACAGGCTGCCCTGAGAATGACTGTCTTCGGTGTTGGTCGGTTCTCTTGTGACTGAGATCCAGAATACAGCAGGGGCTGCTTTAATGAAAAGACAGAAAAAAAGGATCAGGAATTACGTGATAGCAGTGTTCCAATATCTAAGGGGCTGCCATGAAGAAGAGAGGGTCAACCTGAAGAAGAGAGTATCTGAAGGCAAGACAGGAAGCAATAGATGGAAACTAATCCAGGAGAAAAGCAACCAAGAACTAAGGAGGAATTTCCTGACAGAACAATTCATCAGTGGACCAACTTGCCTCGAGAAGTGGTGGATGCTCCATCACTGGAGGTTTCTAAGAGGAGATTGGACAGCCATTTGTCTGAAATGGTAGAGGGTCTTCTGTTTAAGCAGGGGGTTGGACTAGAAGGCCTCAAGTTCCTTTCCAAGTCAGTGATTCTCCTAGCCTTGTGAAATTATTCAGATTTTTGTAAAAGATCTCCCTTTGCCATGTCCAGGAAAAACTCTGAAACCAGCCCATATCAACGGACAGCTGTATAAACCTTTAATTGTTATATATCAACAATATCGACTAATTTATTGAGTATATCATTCATTCATTGTTCAGGCATTCACGCTACAAATATGACAGTTGACAGTGAAGAAGAATGCACAGGGTTCATTACTTTTAGTCACCAGGTTCATCTTACTTCTTTTTTTTTTTAAGAAAAACCTTTATTTTTTTTAGAAAAAACTTTATGATTCATCTTACTTCTAAATGGGAAGCAAATGTCTACACAGGACAGTTTTTTGATCTCTACAGTAGAGGTTCCAATCGCAACATGATTTAGTCTTGGAAAATCTGCACCTTATTTTGTATAAGTTGAAATTTTTTCTTGCTGCGGAAAGTAAGTCCTATTTCCAATGGCTTCTAAACCAGGGAGAGTCACGAGATTGTTTGGAGTTAACACACTCTCCTCCACTCTTCCACACTACAAAAATAAATTGACAATGTGGGTAAGGTTACAGTGAAATGGGGCTTGATAATTGTCAATTAAAATAATTAATTTTCACGTTCTTCTCCCTGGAGGTGGAGATGGGAGAGCTTTCAAGCCAGAACATCTTAATTGAGCCCATGATGCATCCACCAGCTCTGCCCTTTTTAAAAAATAATAAATCCGTGACTACTTTGCTAAAAGAAGCAAAACATATCTCTCTTCTTTTTCTCTGCTGGTGCTTTCACCAGCAGAATATGAAATAAACACAGCCCAAGTTATATAATAGCATATTTTAAGCTGTACATGTGTAATTGCATCCATTAGAACAAGCTGTGAAATGAGCAATCTGAAATATTTCAGGAGAAGTTTATGAATTATTCTGGATGCATGACAGTTTGGTTTTCGCCTTGAATTAAAACATGGGATGGTTACTTGATTGGGAGGGAAACTTACTGCTTTAACTGTTAAACTCAATGATAGTGGTTCAGATAATAGTCTTTTGATCTTCAAAACAGTTGTTTTTTTGGGGGGAGGCCTTTAGATGGTAGTTCATTTCCTTTAAAATGAGCCGGTCCTGCTATGTTTGTACCCTCCACCATTCATTTTGTTGAGTGGGTATCTGAACATCCCAAAAGCCCACTGTGATGGTACGGTTAAGGCAATAATTTCACATTGTTTCATGTAAGAACCACGCAAACTCCAGAATCGACATGACACACCAATTCAGCACCACAAACAGCTCCTTTCCCAATAG